GTATTAAACTGCAAATTCTCAATAAATAGTCTCCCATGTTAAGCAAAATCTAAGAGGGGATGAGATATTTCGAGTCAATAATAAGAACAACTGCTATCAAAATGTTTATGATTGATTAAAAATAAATCATGACATCACATGATCCGCAATCCAGGTCACCATTTGAAAATCTATTTTGCAAAGGCATGATGGCATAGTAGGAAGGATTTAAAATTGGGAACAGTACAACACAAGTAAATATATTGGGAAATACTATTTTTCAAAACTTTATCTATCAGACATAGTATAAAGTTTGTGTTTGTTAATATCCATTTACATTTTTCATATTTTCTAGCAAGGAAAACATTTGAAATAAAGCATGGTTAGCCTTGGCTTTTACAAGGAAAAGATGGCCTTCGGGATTTTTTTGGTTGAAAATTATTGTTGAGCTTACTTCCGTTTCAAGGGCAAATGTTTAATGAATATATTCGGATGCCGATTCCAGAGCAAGTTGACGGTAGATTCCTCATGGCCAGCTGCCTGATGGGATCTATTTTCGGATCTCTATATTGCATGATTTCATTCTAAATGGAAATGAGCCTACTAACAGCCTTGATTTCACAATTTGTATGACTTTATATGAGGTAAAAACGCGTTCCTTGCCACTGAATTTATCATTATTAGAACAGTAAGGCACCAGAAGCGGCAGTATCAGTGAAAGCATCCTTAAGTTTGCTATATTCCCCGGTCAAGTATTATTTTCCATAATGCATTATATATGTTTCATATCATCAGAAAATCTAAAGTGACCCGTTGATTTGATTTGATTAATTGAATTCTATACGAACATAAATTCTTAGTTACTAATATTTTCTGAACGGAGCAAATTATCTGGAATTATGCGCCTGCTTAAGCTGAATCAAACTCTTTGAAGTAAAATATTTGGAAACAAAATTTAGCATAAATATGTAAATACTAAGAAATCTAAGTATTATAGCTCAATAAGTGAGCAGAAAAGGGAAAAATAGACATAGGTAACTATAGCAGGAATTCAGATAGAATTAAGGTTATATGAGATGTATTCACCCTATTTCGTTTAAGGTGATGAATGAATGGTAGTAGAATTCTTCCACAATGATATGAGTTGAGCTGACGTTTCCATTAGACTTCACATAGCCTTGCTTTGCCAAAAGTTGTTCTCATCCAGGCACCAGTGGACTGCAGTTTCGACCTCACATCGGTCTTATCAACACCAT